CTCGAAAATGGAATGTTCGTCGCAAATAGACGGCCTGAGTATTTACTGCTTGGGTCATCGTTAATAAATCCAGTCACGTAGTTATGTGTAAGAACCTTCGAGATGACAAGTAGTCCATCTCCTGGTTGGAACCCTCCTCACTTTCCTTACCGTGAATATCTGGGAAAACGAGATTTTCCCCAAAACCTGCGTCACGCACTTTTGGATGCAGGGGAATTTTTCATTTTTATTCTCTACATAAGTCATAATAATAGTAATAAATAATTTTGATATTCAAAAATTTTCTCTTTTTCTCTCTACATGTCATTGAAAATAGCCTGGAAAAACACGCAGAATTTCCGGAAAATTTACACATATTGGATCAAATATTTCTATTGGAATTCTTATTTGATTAAGCTATATATAATAATAATAATAATCAATATAGAATTCTAACAAAGAGGCTGAAATAAACATAATAATCTATTATTAATAATAATAAAAATGAAAATTATATTTTTATTAAAACACACACAGGCTCATAATAATTTCAATCTGATTGTATTAATCACAACGAATTCTAATTTAAACGATTAGATCTTATTAAACGATTTTTGCTTAGCAGGTGTTACAACAAAATCGAAAAATAAGCAACGCGTTGTTATAAGATTCATATAGACGACAAAGAATATATACGTAGCGACAGATTGTACACGAATCAATATCCGATCTGCGAAACGACCTAGATAACAAGAAAGTAATTTTTTTCAAAGCTGTGTAGAGGAAATGTGGCAATTTTATCATTTTTTTATTTTTACTGACAGCTTTTAGAATTAATGGGATAAAAAATCGGAGTCCATTTTCAAAATTGTATTTAAAAAAATGTAAATGACTTCATATTAAATAATCGTAAGCTTAATTAAAGATGAAGTAAAATTTTATAAGTAAATAAATTTAAGATATATTTTTGAAATGTAAAAGCTTACATTTTGCGGTGTTCAATAATTTTAGCGAAATTAAAATAACACTCGATAAATACCGGATCATTCATTATCCAAGTCGTTTAAATATTCGCGATTGACGCAATCTACAAATAATTTGCAATTCCAACGGTGTTGTGTTACTGTGCGTTTATTTGTAGAGTACTTTTGTTTGACACAAAATCGCGCGTTGATTGTTTAATGAATGGGATATTCTTCCGAATGGATAATCGATTATGAAACCTCGTTAATTGCAGGCATTTGTATTATTGCGCTGTAGTTGTATTGATAAACAATGTTATGATCGAGCCTTCCCATTTAATTTTAATCTTTACTTTTTATTTTAATTTTTAAAAATCTTTTCTCTCTTTCCATGAAAATTAATCTTTTGCGTGAAAATTCATTTTTTCACAAAAAATTTTATTTTGTACGCATTTACATTTAAAGAGTTAAAGATTTTACGTTTATACTATATAAATTCACGTTGTTTTCCATATTAAAAATTTGTTTATTTTTCTTTTAATTCGCGATGAATTCAAATTTACTTCAGTATACAAATCCCGATTTTATTTTTAACCAGTGTTGTCGCAGTTTTTGTTATAATTTTATAGCAAAGAACTTTTATATGAATAATAAAGATTTACTTAAGAGAGAGGGGGGGGAGAGAGAGAGAGAGAGAGAGAGAGAGAGAGAGAGAGAGAGAGAGAGAGAGAGGGAAATATA